TGTAACACTAGTTTACAGCCGAAATGCTCCCCAGCAATAGATGGCAAATTCTGTTAGATTTGGACCCCTAGATCACGAAAATAGCACTTAATTTTTTTTCGATGGCACAGTTTTTTTTTAAAGATTTTTTAAAGTTTGAAATGTTAAATTTCGGACTTTTTTCGAATTTCTTCTTATATCTCGGCAGATATCCACTCGGTTGGGCCAGTTTTAGTTTTATTTTAAAGTCAATAGATCAGAGCTTAACTTCGCCATACAGATCAATATGATTGGATAAGTAATGGCAGCGCAGCAGCTCGACAAAGATGAAAAATGTGTTTTTTGGTCTACTGTAATTCGGCTGTATATATCGTAAAAACTCGAAATAAATCCGTTGAAAAATCATAATGGGTACAAACTTAAAATTTACATCCTACCAAATAAAGCAAGCCGGATATGGCCCAAATCCATGAAAAACTGGATTTATGGTGGATTTTTAAAGTTCGGATTTTTCCACTTTTTTCGGTTGACAAAGTACAAATTTAAGATTTATCACAGGCGGCGACATGTAAACAAAAATAATTGGTGTTCGCAGCCGGGTCACTAAATAGCTAAATCAGATATTTAAAAGCTAGAAAATTATTAAAGTGAATTTAATTTTTTAATTAAGGTTACTTTTTTTTATAAGAATGAACTATCCAAATGAATAGTACTTAGTTAAAAATACTCACAGTCATAACGCAAGCAATTTTATATTTTTAAAGGAATTTTCAGAAATTAAATTTATTTTATAATTTTCTAGCTTTTAAATTTAGCTATTTTTTGACCCGGCTGCCGTCACCACTCATTTTTGTTTACATGTCGCCGCCTATGATAAATCTTAAATTTGGACTCTGTCAACCGAAAAAAGTGGAAAAATCCGAACTTTAAAAATCCACCATAAATCCAGTTTTCCATGGATTTGGGCCATATCCAGCTTGTTTTATTCGGTAGGATGTAAACTTTAAGTTTGTACCCATTATGATTTTTCAACGGATTTATTTCGAGTTTTTACGATATATACAGCCGACTTACAGACGACCAAAAAACACATTTTTCATCTTTGTCGAGCCTCTGCGCTGCCATTACTCATTCAATCGTATTGATCTGTATGGCAAAGTTAAGCTCTGATCTATTGACTTTAAAATAAAACTAAAACTGGCCCAACCGAGTGGATATCTGCCGAGATATAAGAAGAAATTCGAAAAAAGTCCGAAATTTAACATTTCGAACTTTAAAAAATCTTAAAAAAAAAACTGTGCCATCGAAAAAAAATTAAGTGCTATTTTTGTGATCTAGGGGTCCAGCACTAACAGAATTTGCCATCAATTGCTGGGGAGCACACCAAGAATATTATTTTGTAAACTAGTGTAAGTTGTGAGTATAGGAGAGTATAGGCAAGGTAAAAATAGGAAGTTATAAACAAAACAATTGCTAATCGAACCCTATCAATACTTTTTGCACGTTTTTGCACGTTTTACGTAAAACCTCCATGTTGTAGTTGCATTCGAGTTCTGTCACTACACATTGCTTAATGTTTGGATCGACAACAACCGGCAACAAACCGCTGCACAGGTGTAAGATTTTGCCAATCTAGCGGAACTTTTAGCAAAAGTTGAACTATTTTTGAGGTCGATGAGCTTTTAGCAGCACTTTTAGAAATGTTCAACTATTACGAAAACAGGCACAAAACAAAACAAATAATTTTTTTTTGGGAGATAACGGTTTTTAAAGCTGGACTTTAGAAATGCATGCAAAATTGCACTGGGAAGCGAGCAACAGTTGACAAAGTTTAGTCTTATCAATTGCATCGCGTGATCAGTGGGAGCAGCCAAAAGTTATTTTTCCCAGAAACTTTAGACAATTCTTAATCCACTTTTAAAAACAAACAAATTTTTTTGGGACCAAAATTTTTTTTTCTCATTTTTTGAAAAAAGTGCCAAAAAGTAAGTGTGTATTTTTCATATTTCTGTTTTTTGGTGGAAAAAAACTTATATTATTCTATCGTATTCTATCCAACCAGAACATACATCATTCGCATGCATTCATTCTGATTCAGAATCTAAAATAAAATCTTGCCCATATTTTGCCCAAAGACCTTCTATTTAGAAATGAGTGAAATAAGCCGTGCTGCATTTTTCGAGGTTTGGTCGAAAAACATAAAAACCGCTCAGCGAGACGCTCTTGTAAAGCACGCAGTGATGGTGTTTGGTATGACATTGATCACTCCAAATTGAAATTACACATGAGTAAACTGTCTTTTGAGTTTCAAAACAGATTTGAGAAATCTAGGAGAGACAAGGCCAGGTTTTTGGCTCATAATGCAAGTTGGCTTCAGGTCACATTAAATGGCGAAGACTATCGCATTGATGTCATTGCTTCCACCTCAAGTACAAGAGGGAGGGCACAAAAAGCCTATTCTGAGTGTTGTCCTAAAACACAAAAAAAGAAAAGCCAAGAATTGTTGTCAACGATAGATGAGGATCAATTGCTATCAGCCGCAGAACAGGCTTTGCGGGCGGAAGGTAAACGGGATTCAGCTAAATTAATTAATGAATTACCAAATGCTCCCCCGTCCACGGGGACTATAATTAAGAAAGATAAATTATCTTCTAATAGCACTGCAAAACACCTTTCAGCGGATCAAGCCCTTGCCCTTCTGATAGAAATAGAAGTACAATACCACAAAAATTGTCTGTCCAAAATTATATCCATGTTATGATCTCGTTAAGGAGCCAAAAATGTTATGCTATCCTACTGGTATAAAAGTAAGAGAATCCTATGCTGAAATAAGTTTACAATCCCTTATTGATCATACCGTAAAACGGCTGATAAGTGCTCAAGAAGACATTTTTGAGTCACTGTCTCCACTAGACGATGTACACATGAAGTTTGAATTGTTACCATTTAATAAAAAAAAATCTTAAAAATATAAACCAAAGTTTTTTTGTTTTTGTTATCAGCTGCTCAGCTTATAACATCGAAGTTACAGCTAAAAACATGAGCATATAACCAAAATTCAACATTTTTCAAAAAAAAAAAAAAAAAAGTTGACTCCAAAAATTAAAAAAAAAATTTTTTAAGTTGGGGAAAATTAAAACAAAAAATACGAAAATACTTAAAAATGTCGAACATTTTTTTTATATTTTATTTTGCGTTTTTATCTTAAAAAAAGCAGTTTTTTTTCAATTTTTAACGCCCTCAAAAGGGCCACGCCCATTTTTTTATGTCCAACATAATCGTTGGGCCTACTAGAATATTCACTCCAAATTTGAAGCCGATATCTTTAAAAATAGGACTCCTACTGATTTAAGTTCCCCTAGATTGGCAAAATCTTACACTGTGCGCTGTGATGGAATTTGTTTTGCAAACTATGAACGGAATCGAATTAAGCGATAGTCAGCACTCAATAGTCAAAAAAATATTAAGCAGATTGTTGCCTTTTGTAGTCGTAAGTTGCCAAAATGTCATAGAATAATAGACCGATTCAAGGAAAAACATTCCCTGCGGCTTTCGTCGAACATGAAAATTTCATTTTTGGAAAGGGCTTGCCAAGCGACAAACCTGGTCGCAAATGCCTAACTTCTAATGAGGCAGGACCACGATTAAAGCGTAAGGTGGCATCTCAATTGGCGAAAGAAAAAGAAAATTCGATGCCATTGCTTTTGCATGGTGCTTCTATTTGGCAAAAAATATCAAACAAGAAGATACTTCAGTTTTGTTGCGAAAGGCGTTAAATATGAAATATTCATTAACAAATACATTTTTTTTATATCCTTGCCTTTAAAAGTAAATATGCGGCGTTGGCGGTTGATGGAGACTTGGTCCAATTCAAAATTTAACAAAAACAGAAATTGTATTACAGTTACCAACACAAATAACATTTTCTTTAAATCCTTGCCTTCAAATGTTTATATGCGGCGTGGGCGTAGGATGAAAATGTGGTCCGATTCAAAAAACAACAAAAACCGAAATTACATCTTAGCCTTAAAAATATATAACAAAAATTTTAGATTTGTATCTTTAAAACTGGAGTTTATGCCTCAAAGACTGAATATTTGCCCATAGTGGAATGGTCCGATTTGAAAAATGCGTTCTACATTCGATAGGTATAAATATATACAACAAAATTGCATTTAAACTTCTCGAAAATCTTTGAAGGTGTGGGCGCCAGACGCATTTTAAAATCGTTAGTGGGCGATTGTGGGCATTAGAGGGGGCGTTAGAGGTGGCGTTAGAGGGGGCGTGGCGCTCGGCTGAAATAAACATGCGCTGCGTAGGAAGCCCAAGAACATGTGTGGGAAATCTCAACCTTCTATATAAGCTATAGCTTTTGTAGTTTCCGAGATCTCATATTAAAAAAAATATAAAAATATATTATTATATATGGCTCATTCCACGTGAAACGTGACAGGCCAATTTGGGTCAAATCTCAGAATCAATCGAAACTTTTTTTTTCGATAGAGGATTGAAATATAAGGATCGGTTTTTTTTTTTTTTTTAACTCTTACCGTTTATTTTAAAAAAATTATTTTCTAATTAAGCTCCGATTTTTCAGTTATGCATCACTTGAGACTCGTTTGAGTTATTTCAATATTTGGTATGCAACTTTGTGGGATATGTTCATGTCTTTCAGAAAAAAAATTTAAAAAATTTTTAATTTTAAAATTAAGTATTTTTTAAGAGAATTTAAATTTAAAAAAATTCTGTACGCCGGAATACACGCGGCTTCCGAATAAAAAAATTATCCTCATATTGCTTCATCAATTCTTCACGAAGTGGTGAAATAAAATTTTTGTATTTGCAAGACCTACTAGTAAAGACAACGATTTTAGTTTAGCAACTTTGCATCAAGCAACAACAGCGCAACGTATGCACCGTATCCAAGCGCTTTAGTAAGAGCTTCACCGAAGAGAATCAATATATGTCGTTTTTAAATTTAGCTGTTAAACTTATTATTTAAAACTCCACTTTTAACTATGATGCTCTGCGCTGTGCTCTTCAGTGGTATGTTAGATACAGTTCTGATGTATAACTCATTATTGCAATACCTCCAATTACACTGCTTAAAAAGGACTCTTAATGTGGACGCTTCTGTTCGCCGTCATGGGATTACTTGCGAGCGGTGAACGTAGGCTAAAATTCCGTATCTTCCATGAAGTGGCGGTTCAGGCACACAACAAAAGCGTTGATCCGATCTCAGTCGCCCAGTTGGCGGAGGCGAAAAAAAGGATAGTGGAGGCCGAGCGGAGTCCGCAGATGGTGCCCATGAACCGCCTCCAAACTAATCTTTTGGAGATCTGTGATTTGATCAAGAGAGATCCCTGTGAGATCTGGCAGCCGGACAGTTGCCCCTCCTGGAGGCCAGGATGCTACAACCGTCCACCGGCGAAAATTTGCCCTCCCTGGGTACCAAGCTGCAAAGTACCCATTCCGCCAAAGATGTGTTGGTATAAGCCGGGCCAGCCATGTCCACCGCCTTTAGGGGCCTATTGCCACGGAAGTGGTTGGTGTCAGCCAGGCAGCAAATGCCCTATTGAGACGACGTCACCTACAGAAACGTCAGCAATATCGAAAACACAAACTGCAATAAGTTTGAGTACAACTACTCAATTAAGGATACCTTCCACAATAACAGGCCCACCAATCAAAACAACTGCAGTGTCAAAATGGACTTCAAAAACTTCAAGTACAAAACCTTCAGTAAAACCAGCATCCACTGCCGGGTCAGAAATCAAAACGTCTACAATGTCAAAATGGAGTCCAAAAACTTCAAGTATGAACCCTTCACTAAAACCAGCATCCACAATGTCAAAATGGCGTACTTCATCCGAGCCGGGTGAATGCGGAAGACCAGGAGCTCCAGGTGGACCTTATGGTCCAGGCGGTCCAATGGGTCCCGGTGGACCTGGCGGTCCGGCGGGGCCTGGCGGACCGGGCGGACCTGGTGGACCGGGCGGACCGGGCATGCCTTGGGGTCCTGGAGGACCTGGAGGCCCTGGTGGTCCAAACGGACCAGGAGGTCCTGGAGGCCCTGGAGGACCCGGGGGGCCGGGAGGACCAGGAGGACCTTGCGGGGCGGGATGTGAAAAGATCACAGGAAAAAAAACGACTCGGAAGCGAAAGTGTTGTAGAAAAGCTAAGCGTGCATTCCATCGATCAGCAATACATGTAAATAAGCCTCGTAAAGCTCACATACCAATTGGACCAACGGGAAAAGAGTCTTTTACCAAGCGTTTCTTAAATGGCTTTGGTGAAATCGAAAAACATAATCGCAAAAATGACAACTTACTGATAAAACCAATGATGTCGGCTAGCCCCAATCGCAACGATAAGCTTTGGAGATCTGTTCGTAAGAATGTATCCATTATTAAATCAAGATCAAACGACATAAGTAAGGATCTGCAATTATTCAGAAGCTCAGATAACTGCATTGTTGCACATGTCCTAAAAATGTTCAACGAGGAAGAAAAAAAAAAAAAAATTAAAACGAAGCCAAAGATTTGTAAAATAAATCTAGTTAGTTTGTCCAAACTTAAACTAAGGTCGCAAATGAACTATGACATATATGTACTTCTGCCCATATTAATCATAAATAATAACCGACTTACCTTTGAAATGTCTCAATCACCTAAGTTGAAGTGATAACGGTTATAGGGTTCTGCTCTAGAAAAGGGGACTCACCCCTGAAATTTGCGAAAAGATTATTCTCGATGGACCGTGGTTTCTTAAAATAATATCCCGACGGTCACCCATGGTTCTCTTGAACTTTAATTTCAAAGCTGCGTATTTTTCCATAAAAAACAAGAATGCTTTTAAATTATTTTTAGTAATGTAATTGAATATTTTGAGTTCCTATAACATTAATTTATTATACCCTTGCAGAGGATTTTATAATTTATAAGGAGACGTTTCCGACCACATAATGTATATATATTCTTGATCAGCATCAATAGCCGAGTCTATCTAGCCATGTCCGTCTGTCCGTTTCTATGCAAACTATTCTCCCACTTTTAAAGCTATCGCAATGAAACTTTCCAAAAAGTCTTCTTTTTATTGCAGGTAGTACATATGTCCCATCCGGCTCCCATAGGAATAATCAAAACAATAATTGAAAAAACATTGTAACTTTCTAGAAAGTAGGCGTTTTGATTTTTGACATTGTAAAAACAACATTTTAAGTACGCATACCTGCAAGGGTATATAAACTTCGGCTTGCCGAAGTAAACTTCCTTTCTTGTTTTTTTTTAAATGAGTTCCAATAAGCCTAATTAAGTTTTTAAATAAGTTGTATTTATTAAATCTTTCTAAGTGTTAAATTAAAAAAGACTAGCTCACAATATACTCAATGTATTCTATTTATTTATTCGGCAAAATTAAAGGGTGCCATTAGATTAGTAAACATATATCACCCAAATTGTCTAAGGGCAACTCGAGATATAAATAAAAACATGAAACTTTACCTTAAAAACGAAAAAGAGACTGCTTTCAAAGCTTAAATTCCATTATTTCTTCATAACTTTTTAACGAATGGTCCGATTCGAACAATTTCTTCTACATTCGATAGGCAAAAATAACTCAACACACACACACATAATTTGATTGATAAAATTGACCTATACGGATGGTTACGTAACTATGAAAAATAGTTACGTGTATTTTGTTTTTGCTTTGGGTGTGTGTCTTTGCTAATTGTGTGTATTTGTTGTTGTGAAAGTAACTATTTAGTTGGTAGAATTGACCGTTTTTGTGGTTGGGGACCGCTTGACAATTATATTGGTTAATTTTACCAAGTTTTTTTATGTGTAATTTATCAAATAAAAATACCTCTTAACGAGGTAAAAAACTAGTGACGATCAACAAACAAAAGTTCTGATATCAACATTTGTAACGAAAAATTATTACAAAATTTTCTCATTCGGCCCGTCCCACAGTGGGGCGAAAAAGCCAAAAGTCTGCCTTAAATCAGAGGTAAAAAAAACATCATAAGGGGAATTTTTTTAGTAAAAATTTTTTGGTTTATGAAATTTGTAAGAAAAACGAGGACGGCAGCTAACTTCGGCAAGCCGAAGTTTTAATACACTTGCAGATTTTACGAATGAAAACTTGACTAGAATAGCAACATGAATTAATAAACAACAAAATATTTTATAATTGAAAAAAATTTTTTTAATTTTTCACCCTATTGTTCCTATGGGAGCTATAGGATATAGACGCCCGATCGGCACGCGCTTTTACCCTTATCAAGGTATGCATAAAATAATAAGATTTGGAAAGTTTCATGTCAATAGCTTATATTGTTGTTTTTTTAAGAAAACAAATTTAAAAAAAACTCTTTATAGGTTCTTAGTTTCCCAATATTTTGTATACCCTTGCAGAGGGTATTATAATTTTGGTCAGAAGTTTGTAATGCAGTGAAGGAGACGTTTCCGACCCCATAAAGTATATATATTCCTGATCAGGATCAATAGGGGAGTCGATATAGCCATGTCTGTCTGTCCGTCTGTCCGTCTGTCCGTCTGTATGTCTGTTTCAATACCGTCCTCGTTATACCCTTGCAGAGGGTATTATGATTTCAGTCAGAAGTTTGCAACGCAATGAAGGAGACGTTTCCGACCCCATAAAGTATATATATTCTTGATCAGCATCACTAGACGAGTCGATCTAGCCATGTCCGTCTGTCCGTCTGTCCGTCCGTCCGTCCGTCTGTCCGTCCGTTTCTACGCAAACTAGTCTCTCAGTTTTGAAGCTATCGGGATGAAACTTTCGTAAAAGTCGTCTTTCTATTGCAGGTAGTATATATGTCGGAACCAACCGGATCGGACAACTATATCTTATAGCTCCCATAGGAAGGATCAAAAAATAAAAACGTAAAAAAATTCTAGCTCCGGTGTTTTTTGAAATTTTACCTTCTACTCTTGGGAATTTCGGTTTTTTTTGTTTTTTAAATCGGATCACTATATCATATAGCTGCCATAGGAACGGTCGAAAAATTAAATGGAAATTAATGGGAAAAAAATTATATCTTTGTTGGTTTTTATTACATTTCCTTCTACTCTGGGATATGACTATTTTGAAATATTTCCGAATTTCGATTTTAATTTTTTTTTATATATTTCTGAATTTCGGTTTTTTTGTTTTTTAAATCGGATCACTATATCATATAGCTGCCATAGGAACGGTCGAAAAATTAAATGGAAATTAATGGGAAAAAAATTATATCTTTGTTGGTTTTTATTACATTTCCTTCTACTCTGGGATATGACTATTTTGAAATATTTCCGAATTTCGATTTTAATTTTTAAAAGATCGAACTACTATATCATATAGCTGTGATAGAAACGATCGAAAAATTAATGTGAAATAATAAGAAATTTAACATTTTTGCGATTTGTAAATTAAAAGAATGATCTGCAAGGGTATAATAGCTTCGGCTTGCCGAAGCTAGCTTCCTTTCTTGTTTTTAATTTAATTTGCTTTTTGAAAAAAAAATTATTCAAATCGATCAACTATATCTTATAGCTGCCATATAAAATCTAATTACAAAGGGGAAAATCTCGGTTCTATTTTAATATTGTTTCATATAAATTGGGATTTAGGGCCGGTTTCTCGAGTGTCGGCTAACATTTCTCGAACAGATAAAGTCCCTGCTAAGGCATTTTGGCTTTCTCGAGCATAAATGTGAGAGCTAACTTTGACAGGGACTCGGAGTCCCTGTTAAGCGTTTTCGACTCGATAGAATGACAGCTGATTTCCCAAAGCCAACTATGAAGAAGAAACGAAATCACAGCTGACTTTTACTTTAAATTATACCCAAACAGCTGATGAAATAATCGAAGCATGCCATTTTTTGCGCTTCACAGCACAATTCTGTGCGTTAACAGCACTCTGTAATTGTTTCTCGTTCAGATAAATTAAAGCAGTCGAGAAAGCGGATTTGCTTTTACGAACAGTTTATCTGGTATTTAAGTTTTTCGGACAGATAGCTATCAGGGACTTTGACAGGGACTCGAGAAACCGGCCCTAAGTCATTATTTATCATTTTACCTCAATGCTTACTTTTTTTTAAATTGGTCGATGATATCTTATATATGAGTGATTCTTTGTGAAACGTATCGAGATTTTCTTAATGGCCTCAAAACGATATCTCATTTTTATCACGATATTACACCATTAAAATTGCATTTTTAAAAAAGTAAAAAAAAAATCTATTTGACAGAAACGAAGATATGGCGATGCTTTGTTTTTGTTTATTTTATTTATAACTGTAAATTACGTGGGGTAAAAAATAAATAAATATGCTCAAAAATTATTATTTTTGCCAAGCTTTCAGATAAAAATAACACCCATAATGGTTCCAGTGCAAAGTATGGTCCAAACTTAAAAAAAATAATTTCAATCGCGGTTTTCTGCAAATCGGCATTTTTAATCTTTATAAAAAAAATTGTAAATGTATATACTTAATCCTTGTTGGCCACTGAAAGTTTCGACATGGGACATGGGAATAAAACAATAAAAAATAAAGCAGTCTTTCCATGTTAAACATTTTTAATAATGTTGTAACGAACTGTTTTTAACCGTTCTGATCGCTACGAAAACTTTGCGACTAGCTGAGATATATATTCGTCCCACCTAATTTATATTGTGTGACCGCCCGAACATTCTACTATTTTTTCATAAATATTAAAAATGCCGATTTGCAGAAAACCGCGATTGAAAATATTTTTTTTAAGTTTGGACCATACTTTTCAGGTAGTATTTAAGTCGGAACCGACCGGATCGGACAACTATATCTTATAGCTCCCATAGGATAATCGGAAAAAAAAACGGTAAAAAAATTCTATCTTCGGTGTTTTTTGAAATATTACCTTCTACTCTTGGGAATATTATTTTTTATATATTTCTGAATTTCGAATACAATTTTTAAAAAATCGGATCACTATATCACATGGCCGCCATAGGAACGGTCGAAAAATTAAATGGAAATAAATAGGAAAAAAATTTATATCTTTGTTGATCTTTATTACATTTTTTTCTTCATTGGGATATAACATTTCTTCAACATTTCAAAATTTCTTGTTATTTTATAGTCTTTGGTCTGACGGATCTAGAAAACGTTTCCACTATTGCAATCTTTTGACTAAAATCATAATATTCTCTGCAGGGTTATAAAAATCGTACCGAGCATTATTCTTCGATTTGCCCTCTGCAATAGTATAATTAGTTCTCAATACTCCTGCGGAAAGTCTTATCTTGTGTTTGGCATTTACATGTTTTTTTTAGGGAAGTTTATTAATTTTAAAATTAAATGAAATTGCACAGAATTGGAACAGGCATCACTAGGAAGGTACCAGTTGATCCCTTTAAGCCCTATTTAATGAAAGGGATAAATGGGAGTGCAATCCAACCAAAATGAAAAACCTTTCAGTCCAACGAGGGAACGAAAGTTAAAGTATTTGCAACGACAAAATTGCTTTTAATTTTATGGGATTGTATGAGAAGTGTAATAAACTGCAAACTTGTAGTGGACAACCCCTACTTAAGGTGGGTGGTAAAACGGCTTTTATGGGACAAAAATGGGTAGGATGGGAGCAAATAATAAACAACAACAGCAACATTAATAAACAACATTGACGGTCCAACGGTGGCTATATTGTTTTTCGTTTCTATAAATAAACATTTTAAAATTTTTCAAGGATGCAGGACATAAAAATGGACAGTGCGGGTGAGTTGTGTATGGAAAAAAAGCTTTCATTTAATTTCAAAGTTGAAATTTCTTACGTAAAGGCGGCTGCTCATTTTTGCGACCGCCTCATTACTTTTTGACACTCTTTTCCTAACT